TCCCTAGGGTAGGTAGCCAAGGAGATAGGTGCACAGCAAGGTGGGAGTACAGACTCAAGGGTAGAATAGGGCCAGAGGTACAGAGATCACAAAATCATACTCATTCTTCTGACTGAAAAGCACCAGGGCAGTGAGGCTGGGAAAAATAGAAGAGACATAGGAACAAATGGAGTGGAGTGGAGTGGAGTGGAGTATAGATGCATTGGCTTTAACAGGAAGTCCTTACAGTCCAAGATGTAGGCTTCTGTCCTAGCCAGAGAGCAGCTCCTACTCATATAAGTGTTGCCTCTGTGGAGCCAAAGGCAGACAAGTCTTGGTCTGTAGGTAAGTGGCTATGCAAATGAGAATGAACATAAACACTGGTAAAACTGCAACGGTAGGAGACAGACGATGCGTTCAGGCCCAGCTGCAAATGGTACAGGTGGTAGGACACCACCACGCCACGCTAGAGCATGGGAAGGCCCCAGTTGAGATCTTGGGTCTACCTAAACACCCCATGTGCCTGTGATCCTGGCTGGCATGAAGAAGGGGGTCATGACATGGAGAGATTCTGTAAAGGATAGCCTTCTCTCTCATAAGAAAAAGATTTATTTTACTGTAAAAAGAGGGGGGGGGAAAGGATCCATTCAGGCACCAGCCATGACTAGTCAGGCATAAAACTAAAGTTTTCATTACTATTAGTGTTTTTAACAGGACCAGCAGATGGCATAATGGTTATGTCACTAGACTCCCATGGAGTCGACCACAGTTCTAATCCTGGACCAGTGGCTTAAAACTCACACCAGGCGCATGTACATGCATGTGCAAAATCCCAAAAGCAGAATGGCGAAGGGATTGCGGCTTGGCCATACCCCAGGAGGATGTGATTTCTTGCTTTCTATCTCTCTGTATCGAGCACATGCATCCTATAGCAAAAATCTCTTTAAAAAAAAAAAAAGTTTCTTTCTTCGGAGAGAAAGAGAGAAGCATCTCTGACAGGGTCTTCATGCCACAATCCAGCCCCAGCTTCAGCCAGTCAGGATCACACGAATGCATACAGCGCGTTGTGTACACAGCAAGAGCTGAGGACATGAGACCTTCCCTTGTGGCTTCAGCATTGTTGCGCATTACATTGTCATTATATTAATTTCTTTGTTTCCTTTAATATGACAGAGGGCATGTGTGCTCATCAGAGAGAAAGAGAGGGAGAAAGAGAAAGTAACCCCCCCACACACAGTTGGGTTTGGTCACACTGCAATCCCTTCTCCTTCATTTGTCCATCCTGTTGAGATTTGGAGAACCAATGCACATGTGCCCAGTGCCTTTTATACGCCATCAGGGCCGAGACTTGAACCCCATGGTCAGCTATGTGAGATGCTGCTCCCTTAACTACTAGGTCATGGAGCCAGTCCCCACTATATTTATTTTTAAAGTCTACAAAATGTTAGTGGGTGTGCAGTTGCCTAAGGGTTTAGAAGCTTATAACGACTGTATTGCCTGACTTACACATTCTAATTTTTTTTAAGATTTATTAATTTTATTTGTTATTATTATTTATCTTTTTAACTTAACCAAAGGAGAGAGAGAGAGAGAAAGCAAGCTGCCAGATCTGGGACTAGAACCATGGTTGGCCATGTGGGAGTCCAGCACCTTAACCACCATGCCACCTGCCCGCTCTGACACACATTCTAATTCTAAGGCAGTTTGACTTTCATGCTGTCTAACATTCAAGAAATACTTATCAAAAAGAATTAAAATCGCGTATATCATCTTGTGAAATATTAAAATAAGAATCCCATGGTAGAAAATTATTATAAAAACTAACTCAATAATGTTAATTTCAATTAAAAATTTGAATATTTTGGCTTCATATTACTTACTTGTTCTTAATCTTCCATCATATATTTTTTAACTAATCTTAATTTAAATTATACTAAATTTAAAACCTAGAAAACTGAATGAAAAAGAATCTTTTTCCTAGAGTTTAAAAATGGTCCTACCTGAAATATTTTTATATTTGACAACTAATTTAAAATACTATCATTCCTGGGGTCAGCAGATGGCATGGTGGTTAAGGCACTGAACTCCCAAAAATCGACTGCAGTTCAAGTCCCAGACCCTACAGCTTGAAAATCATGCTGGGTGCACATGCCCAGAATTCCAAGAGGAAAATGGAGGAGAATGTTTGTGGTGTAGCCACACAGCCTAGAGGGTGATTTCTCACTCTCCCTCCCTCTCTGTCTCTCTCCATTGAGCAGATGAGTCTATGGCAAAAAGCTTAAAATAATAAAAATAAATAAATTTTAAAAACTATCATTCCTTTATAATTTATGTTTTTATGTGGAATTACAGCAGTAGTTCATATAGGCTGTCTTCATCTGTAAGATTGTAAGATTTGAAACTTAAGCTACTAGGATGACACTAATTATAGTTAATATGGAAGAGGAAAGTTATCAGAAGATGAAAGTTATCTTTTTAAAGTTAATATTGTTTATTGCTTCAGCAAAAACTGTTCAGACTTCAAAATACCCACACAAATGGACATGAAAGGCAAACATCTCCTCAGTTACAAGTGAATTTTTTTCAAAGATATACCAGAACTGCTTTTAAACATACTTTTTATTCTTAGAATTTGTGAAGCAAATAACCAAGAAAAGGAAAGTAATGAACAATTGGTCAGCTTCATAATACCCCCAAAAAAATAATGTCTGAATTTGAAAACAAAAAAGTACAAGACAACAAAAGCATTAATACCAAGAGCTTTAGTTGTATCACTCTTGATACAGCTTCCCATTTTAAATCATAGCTTACCCGAGGATCATTTTACATAACAGAATTTGTTTTGTAAACACATATATAGCCTGAGTTTCTATCCAAAGGATAGGATTACACTCAGTTGGAAATGTTCAAGAACAAATAAATGGGTTGAAAAAGTGTGGCACATATACCCTATGGAATACTATATTCAGCCATAAAAAAAAAAAAAAAAAAATGACACAACAAAATTTGAAAAAAAATGGATGAATATGGAAGATTTCATGTTAAATGAAGCAAGCCAGACTATGAAAGACAGGTATTGTATGTCCCCACTTACTATATACCAAATATCTGCACTCTATGGCAGAAACTGAAAGACTAGAAGGTAAAAAGCATGGAGAGCAACTGTGGATTCTAGAGACAGGGTAGGGGGACAACGGGCAATGGAGGGGGGAAGGGAGAAGGGAGGAAATTAAGGGAAAAAAAACAAAACACTTAATGACACAAAAATGAAAAATTATTTGCTAATGATTAAATGTATGGAAAGATCTTTGACTGGACTAGCATGCAGTGTACTCATCCTGGGGAAATTCATTGTGTATGTTGTAAATATGTACAGTGATTAAACGTAAAAAAATTTTTAAAAAGAAGAAAAAATAAAATAAAAAGGAGGAAGAAACAACACATACAGAGTCTAGGATGGCAGCCTGAGGCAAACTGCCTCTGAGGTGAACCATATATGGTCAATGAATGGAGGCACAATGGCAAAGCCAGCCGACTCATGTTAGGTGTGTTCGGAATCTTAATCCTTTACAGCTTACTGTGAATAATATCCATTCATATCCCCTGAGATTCAAATGCACTGGGAAGATGTCAAGTAAGTCTTCTACACATTGGTCTGCCCTGTAACCTCGGCTATCTCTGGCTGTCATTAATTTTTCATATTGAACTTAAACTTCCTAATAGGATTTTGTCCTAAGCAAAGGCAAATGTAATAATATGAAAACCAATCTTTATATGATATGAGTCAATAGAGTAAATTGTGTCTCTGAAAAACCATTTGATAGGCTTATTATTGATAACAGCAAACAGGAATTATTATATTACTGTCAAAAAACATCTTCTCAATACAAAGCAGAACCGTATTGAAGCAATATTTTATACAAGAGTTTACATTCTCTGTCAATTTGTTCTTGATTAAAGTGTAAGGAAAGGATTATTGCACTTACTTAATCATATGTGGCACAGTAACTTTGGAATTCTCTTCAAACACTATAGTCATTAAACCATTACATCGTATATTGTCCACACACTGTAAAATTAAAAATAGACAATTACAACCCACGAGAAAACCCAGGCAGGTCATATATTCCTAGAATTGTTTCTAGCAAATAAAAAGAAAAGAAAAAAAGTTTAGTTTCACATGCACACACACAGATAAACACACACACACACCACAGCTACCACCACCATCACATTGATAAGCAGATTCAATATCCAGAGACCACGACAGTGCACCAATCAAATGCCTGACAAATACATGAGGATGGACATAAGGGCTTTATTTTCCCTGAATGTGTTGGCTAAAAATTATGACCACACTGTCACATCGTCACAGTTTTCTGACTTTCCCAGCACTCCTTGACACCAGAGTTAGTGTGGGAGGAGGGTGGGAAATGGCAGAGGGTGAGAAATTGAGGGGGGGGGTGAATATATATATATATATATACACATACATACATACACACACACACACACATATATATATATATATATATATATATATGAAACTAGAAATGGAAAATTATCGATGATAACATGTATGATTAAGCCAGTATGCAGTATATTCTGGATGGAAAATCACACTTTGTATGCTGTTACGATGTTCAGTGAATGAATGTTAATTAATTAATTAATTAATTGAATATTTAAAAGAAGAAAAGCTTATACTTTCTGACCAAGACTGCCCCACCATATTCATCTTTTGCCACCAGGGGGTGATATGGAGTAACTAGATTTGAAATGGTGGCTTCCTTGGATGGAGTTCATCTTCTGTCTCACTAGTAAGCTCTCTGTCTGTTCTCAGGTGATTTTTTTGCCAATAAATTCTCACATTTTACTAGTCTCTCCAGCAGTTTCTATTGGCACCATGTTGCTTTGGTGAGGGGCAGTGTATAATTTTTCCTGTTTCTGGCACATTTAAGCCCTGTATCAGGTTTTTCTCTATTATAAAATAACTTAGAAACTTTTGATAATTTTCTCTACTTCCATTTTTCATATCTATGCCAAATGTGTCCATTTCAAATTTCCCTCTGCAGTTACTTTGTGTTAGAAAAAAATTTATTTTGAATTACCAATTTTGTCCTTGAACAAAATATATCTATATATACTAACAATATTAGAAATCAGAAAGGCTTCAAAGACACCATGTGGTACTTTGTGAGTGTGATTAGATGGTGCAAGAAGCAGACAGCCATGTGACCACACATCGATCCTGAACTCAGTGTTCACCCTAAACACCAATGTCTAATAAAAAAGATAAATACGTATGTAAGAAAGTCCAGATCATTGGAATCGTCTGCTTATTCAGTCTATTTAGTATTCCAGCCATTTTCATATTGTTTTTCTGGAAAATGTTGTCTTCCTTACATCTTATGCAATCATTTTAATTACCAGATATAAATGATCCTGATGTATGGGAATTAAGTGGAATAGTTTACACAGTTCCCCTTCAGTACATTTCCTTAAACCACAGATAACATCTGTAAATAATTTGTCATTTTTTGTGAGTACTTATGGCTATACAATTATAAAGTTTGTGATATCTATGCTTACATGTGAACTTACCCTCCATTTTGTTTCTATAAGATCAATTATAGAAGGACATACAATAAGACAAAAGCCAAAATAAGTGATAAAATAAGAGATGATTTGCCTAAAGGGTAGAAGACAATGCGATAAAGCCTGGAATGTAGTCACCACACACATTTTATGTTAACATTTGCTATAGTGAGCCTCAAAAAGGGACACATGATTAGCTACAAAATTCAAAGCTCAGTAGTTCAGTTAATCTTGGTCTAAGACCAGATAAAAAATTATGTCATTGGTTCTCATAAGGAAAATATGAGGGGCCTTCAAAAAGTTCATGTAAAACACATATGACAAAACTGTGCATAAACTTTTTTTTAAATTTTGCATTAAAATAAACTCACACTTTAATTCCATTTTTTCATGAATTTTTAAAAATCCCTTACATTTAATAACAGTAGTAAATGATGTCTTCATATCTTTAAAGTAACTACAAATTTTATCAAACTATTTAGAATAGGCTCCTCTACATTGGCTGAAAAGCAGAATTCCAAACAAAAAAACCCTGGGAAGACCCCAGAAAATGTGATCCAGATGTCCATCCTCCCCTATGGCTTGGTTCCAAGCACAGGCTTCACACTCTCCAGATAAGGTCGTGGACTACTCTTCTTCAGGTTGAATAAATTCTGCTTCTCTCATCCTAGATTTCATAAGTCTTGAGCAGCAGGAAGTTTGAAATGGTGTTCTCTCAGAGACTCTGAAACTGCAGTATCTTGTGTGTCTAGCTGTGCAGAGTCTGTTTTCTCCAGCGAGCCACGCTGCCACTACTTGGGAAGCAGAAGGACACCAGCACATCTATGAAAGCTCTCAGTAAGGGCCAGATGAACCACATGCAGTGGCTCCATTTCAGAACAGGAACACACATGGAAGAATGAAGAGATGGGACTAGCTGAGACATGAGTTCATAGTGGGGAAGAGAGTAATAGAAAGAAGCTGGGCCACAGGCAAGGAATTCTTAAATTTGTATTTTTATCCTGAAGCAGATAGGAAGCCACTAGGGTTCTACGCAGCTCATTTATGGTTAAAGATATACAACTGGTCTCATGGAGGTATTCAGTGGAAAAGAAGGAGTATGATTAGTGATAAAAGAGATCATCAGAACAATATTCTAAGTCAGTAAACAAAAGGACTCATATCTCCCATGAGATGGATCATGAGAATGAAGAGGAAGGTTAGAGACAAATGTGTTGAAGAAAGAAATAATAAAAAGTGATGAGTGAATGAATAAAAATTTTTAAGAAGGTAAATATCAAAGATGACCATTGTTATCCAACAAAACTAGTCTATCCTTTGGATTTTCAAGAACACCAAGAAGATGCACTGCCTATGTGACAGACTCTGGGCTAAGTGCAGGGAGATGAGGGGAGCAAGATAAGGATATGCGAAAAAGATTCAAAAACAAACACAGTGAGCCACTTCAAAATAACCTTGCCAATCCCAATGGGAAAATGGAAGAATATTACCTCAGTTTTTACCAAGCTAAGTGAGGAGGCGGGGGTGAACAGGGAGAAGGTGTGTTTGGGAGGCAGGAGAAGAGGGAGGAGACGAGTGATCCCTCATCCAGGGACCTTCCCAGCTATCCAATATACTTCTTTTCGCTCTCAGTGGTTCTGAAGCACAGTGAGGTACCACTTGGGTAACCAACACAAGAAGTGGGTTAAAGTAGTATTTGGTGAGACTTGTGGAGAAAAAACAATGTTTCTTCCATTTCTTTAAACATTGAAGCAAATGGCATAGTTATAGAGAAAAAGGCCTTATGATGACTGCACAATCAAGAACAGTGGTGAGGGAATGTCTAAGTGGGATCACTCACACTCACCCAGTCCCACAGGGTTCCAGAGAGACAACCACTCTATTCAAGTGGAGCCAGTCAAGGGCATCGGGGGTGGCTAGAGTTATACACATAGTCATTAAGAAGTGTCTATGCATCATCCTGAATAGGAACTTGGAAAGCAGAAGTTTGACTCCTGTGTCTTAGACATTCATAGCTCAAACCTCAGGAACTGGGTGGTACTGAGTCTGGAAACCTGGCAAATGCATTCCTGGAGATGGGTTCCAAGGGCAGTTTAGTCTACAGGTGTCAATAGTCAAAGAATGGAAAGGCAGAGCTATCCTGTGGCCCACCAAAGCTATGGATGTCCACCACCAGAGTTGTAGGCACAATTCTCTGCAGGCCGACTTTACCCATTTCCCTCCTCCTGGAGGCCAGAAGAGACAGAGCCCCTGCTCTTTGAAAGAGGGAACCAAGAAGAAAGATGTCTTAAGACCCATCTGCCTAGTTCACTTTCTTAGGGAACTCTGCAGGATTAAAAGTAGAAGCAGGGAAGATGACAACTCCTACAGTTCCCAGCAGAAGCCATGATGTGTGATCCATGTGCCAAAGGCTGAGAGAGGAGCCTACTCCACAGAGCCAAAGCACATCTTCTCTCCTGCCCCCAACATATGAAGTGTTTTGCTCTTGTCCATCCCTCATTTACTACACCAATCTGAGTATAGTGAGCCAAGACTTGGGAAGGCTTTGCAGAGAAAAGCAGAAGAGAAGCTCTGAGATATTTTTGACCAGACACATAGTTAACATATACAGATTAGGCTGCATAAAATTTGAAAGAAAGTAGAAAATAAATCTCTTTTTTTCACACTTAATATGAATACATATTAGAGTACTGCTTGGGCTGAAATATTTAATTTTTAAAGTATATAGCCACATAAAAAGAGAATTGAAAAGGGAAAGTAATGCCCTAAAAAATTGTCACAAAAATGGTGAAAAATAATAGGCTAAAAATTTTAATACTGAGATAGGCAGTTAGCTAGAAATGAGCGGGCAGCCCTAAGAAAATATCAGGACACCTGCCACATTAATCACAATTTATCAGGAGTTACAACCAGACCCTCCATGAAAATGCCTTCTTCCCATCCAGCTCCTGGGGCCAGGAGGGTGAGGCAGATTCCGTTTTTCTTCTTCAGTACTTGAGGAAGACACATAGGTCCGATTGCAAATTTCCCTCCTATCATTCCTCAAAAATACAAAAAGACCCAACCAGACATTTTTGGTCAACAGCCTGATACCCACTGGGACAATAAACTAATTGGGCAGTTCATTAGAATAAGGATGCTCCTACCATCCTGGCTCACACTGGGCACCAGCAGTTAGGTGATCAAATTCCTCAAATTCTTCACCTGTGAGAGAGGGGGCAAGCACAGGAGAAAGCCCACAAATTCAAACAAAAAAACATAGCTACTATGACAGACATTACACTGCTAAGTATCATCACCCCTAGTAATGAAAATAACACCTAACCAGTTCCAAACTCAGTTGCTACCTAACAATCTTCCCACCCAATTCTGGGTGTACTTCTTTTCTAAAAATATTTCTTTCCTATTAAATTCTCTTTTCTACTTACTTTCATTGTGGTTGTGGCTTTATTTTTGTGCCTCAGGACAGTT